TGAGCAATGGAAGCGGTGGGGCCAGTGCCTGGGAGTGGCAGGAGGCGCAGAGCCAGGTAAGCGCCTCCCCTCCTCCCCAGACATCCCGCTCCTTCAAAGACCCCCCCCCACTTTCAGCCTGCTCCTGCACCCTCTTTCCCCCAGAACCCCCCCCAGCCCAGCCTGCTCTTGCATCCATTTTGCTGTCATGGGGGGCTGGCTGGTGGTCTGCGGAAGGATCTATGTCGAGCAGGATGGGCTGCAGGCCAAAAAGTTTGAGAACTACTGTCCTAGCAGAGCGTATGAACAGCTGTTGCAAACGGAGCCGGGGAGGGGAGCAGCAGAGCTGGGGCAGGGGAGGGGGAGCTGGCGGGGGGATTTCGAGGCACTGAAGCAAACAGCCGAGCCGGGAGGCCGCTCCCCTCGCTCTGACACTTCGCACGGCTGAGCCTTCCCGCTCCTTGTCCCCCGCCCGCAGCTGGCATGATCCCCCCCGACGCCACCTTGTATTTTGACGTCATCATGCTGGACATCTGGAACAAAGAGGACAAGCTGCAGATCACCACCTTGCACAAGCCGGAGCGTTGCAACCGCACGGTGGAGGACTCGGACTTCGTCCGGTACCACTACAACGGCACGCTCCTGGACGGGACCCACTTCGACTCCAGGTACCCGGGAGCCAAGGGGGGGACTAGGGATGTTAATGTCGGTTGACTGAATAGTCAAGTAATCGACTATTCCAGTGTTTCTCAACCAGTACCCTTAGGGGTACCCTTTGGAGTACTCGAGAGAAGTCTGGGGGGTATGTCAACACAACTGAAATTTGGAGAAAACTGAATTTTTGTTTTAAGTTTTACAGTGTTTTATTTTTTTTGTACTTTTTTACACCCAAAAATTTCATTGCCTGCCCAGCGGCAATGCTAGAAAAAATGGTGTGCGTCTGAAAACTGTAGGTACTGGGGGTACTTGTGGCTTTTTTTAAAGGGGTACTTTATAAAAAAAGGTTGAGAAACACTAGACTGTTCTATAGTCCCTGGGGGCAGGGCTGGCAGCCCGTGTATCAGAGGCAGGAAAGCGGGGGGGGCGGCGGGAGC